CACTGTCTCTGGCCTTGATCTCCCCATCCACACAGCAGAGCCGCACCGCTGCAAGGATGGCAGCCCAGGCCCTTCCTGGGGTGAGACCTGTAGCCAGCCTGGGATGTGGCTGCTGCTTATTGTTTTCCTCCCTAGTTATCAAACTGTTATCTAGTTACAGTGTGAGGAGGTGGGGACAGGCACTTAGGACCAAAGGTGAGAGGTAAACCCCTTTTGTACCCTGGTAAACAGCTGTAGGCTTCCTGGGGCTACACAGATTTAGGAAATGGGCTCTAAGCCCAGGGATCCTCCCCTCTCAAATGCATCACTAGTCTTCCATGGCCATGGTGACCACCCTGTGCGTAACACGCAGTACTGAGGTGTCTCCCTGCACTAGTCAGCTCTGCGCAGGGCGTTGGACCTGGGGGAGTAGTAATGGAAGTGGGGCTCAGGGTCGTGGCCCTGGTCCAGGCCCAGCCTCGTCAGCTTTGGTCCTGGTTCCTGAAGGGCACCTACCACCCCCTTGTGTTGCAAGCTTGAGCATTAAGAGGGGAAGAACATGAGTAGGGAAAGAGGAGCAGTTATTTTACAAGTTTTTAAAAAGTTACAGGAAGGTTAACTTTGAGTAAAAAAAAAAATACATGAAACAAAGATCAAGCAGAGGGGTGCTTCCCTTTCCTCCCCCTTCCCTTATAAAAAGTGAGAGGCACTCAGCTACCCAGACACTCAGATGATGGTGCAGGACTGAAAGGCGCCACCCTTGCGGCCACCGCGTGTGGGTACAGCCTTGCCCTTCCCGTAGTATCCAGTGAAGATGGCCCTGACCTCCATCTTTTTGGCCAGGCTCAGCAGCCAGCGCCCGCTGCCCAAGGAGTAGAGCTTGCCCCGGCTTAGCTCACCCACCTCCTCACCACGGTTGCCCCCCTTCTCCTGCCGCACAATCTCTAGCAGGTCAATGCCCGTCTGCACAGCCTCCACGTCACCTGAGCAGCCCAGGGTGATGTGTGCACGGCTGCCCCGCGGCAGGCTGTCAGAAGGGGACAGCTTGTCCACGTCGTTTGGCCACAAGGCCAGCTCCTGCTCGCTCAGCTCCACTCGGGCTCCTGTCGTCTTGGGTGTCACGAAAAGGGCGGAGACGGTCAATGTGAAGGCCTTGCTATAAGACTTCTTCACCACCTACAGAGAGAGGACGAGAGGACTCAGCTAGAGGTGGCAATGTTGAGAGGGACAGCAACTGCCACCAGGCAGAGCTTGCAAACTTGCACAACCCATGGGCGGGTGCTTGGAGGACATCCTTCCACTGACACTGACCAGGCTACTTGAAAAAGTGAAGATGCCAAAGAGACCAGACAGAGCAGGAGTGAGATGCCAGGCTTCCTGAGCTCAGGACCGGGCTCCCCACCCACTAGCTGCAGGGCTGATTCACCTGGAAGATGGGGCTGATACCAGAACTTACCTCAGCGCAAGGGCTAAAGGAGGGCCCAGCAGAACAGTTTAGAAAAGCGACAGGTGCCTGGCAAGTGCTGTTTTGTCATTGCTACTCGGCTCACCTGGTAAAAGCCACCTTGGTATCCAGGCAATATCCTGGAGGGTGGTTGAGGTCAGAGATAAATGCCTTTGATCCAAATCTGCTCCATACACTTTGGCTTACATCATACCCGATTCTCTGAGAAAGCCCATCTCTCCCGTCTAACCATAAAAGCTCATAAAAGCAAAAGCTATTTTATTCACAACTCCTTGTCCCAACACAGACTGCCTAGCGCATAACAGGTGCTTAATAACTATTGCTAAGTGATGTGTGGTTAGAGCTGGTAGTGAAAGCGAAGCGTCAGTGTAGTGTATTCATTCAGGCAGCTGTGGCGGGTGCTAGGGATACTGCTGGTAAAAACTGCTGCCCTCTGGGAGCTTCCTTTCACGTGAAAGGAGACCAGTGAACAAGCAAGTAAAACGGCTGCATTAACGTAGGCACAGAAGTAGGGGAGATGTAGGGTCAGGGACAGTGCTAAGAAGGTGACCTGAAGGAGGCTGGAGTCAGCCAGGCCCACCGGGGCACCAGGCCTGGTGGTTAATGATCCCATGTCAGAGGCTATGAAAAGACAAGGGCTGTGTGGCAGGGGAAGATCTGGGACCTTCAAAGCCAATAAGCCTCCCTTGTCCCTCGACATTTCCCACTCCAGGGCCAAGGCCAAGGCCTCAGACTGGGAAGAGGGTCCTCAGATCACCAGGCCCCCCTGGAGCAAGGAACTCCTAGCCTTTGGAACAGGCTTAGAGAAACCAGAGTAGAAGCTGCTGCCCACCAACATTCTCCACAAATCTGCAGAAGGAAAAGGCATTGGTGGGCGGGGCCTGGTGATGACTGAAGGCTGGCGGCACTGCCAGGCGGCCCGGAGAGGGCAGCTGAGGTCTGTACCACTAAGCCTGCAGAGGCATGAGCTGGCCAGAAGATGCTGTTTTTCCTGAGGCTGTCTGGTTTCTGCCGGTACCATCTCCAGAAGACCCCGTCCTCGCCCCACCTCAGTCAGGTGTCCCTTGGGAGCACTCACATCCTGCTGGGCGTACTCGTCTGCCCCAGCAGCCTTCCCGTAGTCACAGAACTTGGTTGTGCAGTGCAGCACACCCGGGGGTCTCTTCCCAAAGTAGGTGACGAGTTCAATCTTCTCCCTGGGCTCATCTCCAGAGACAACTGCAGGGAGAGAGAGTAGGGCAGTCAGGGCAGAAGAGGACATTGCAACATCTATCACCAAGACCACTGGAGATCCAGAGGAAAAAAGTGGACACCAAGCATACATTTGCAATCCACTACAATTGAGGAACCCACTACCATTCATTCGTTGGTCAAACTAATGGCAACTGTGGAGCTATAAAAAGGTGTTTGTTTAAATTCCCTGCTTTATGTTCTGCAGATTTTTACATCTCTTCCCCAGACCTGAAAACTAAGGCACTTTTAACACAGGAGTAGGCAGTATAAGCCAAGGAAATCTGTACTTCACCAGCTACACATCCGAAAAAAGGAGAAGCAGGAAATGAAAATGGGGTAGAAAGAAGTGGGGAACTATGTGGTAAAATGGAAGGAGCCAGAAAGAGCATAATTAACATCCAGCCCACTTCCAAGCCATGTGACCTGGGGCAAGTGATTGACCCTTATCTGTCAATCAAACAAGTAGGGTGACCACACACCCCAGTTTTCCCAGGACCACCCGGGTAAACTATTCATCATGCCCCATTTCGCTTAGGCCACTTGGACAAGAAGCTACCTGGTCACTGTATTCGTAGGTATCTTGCAGGCTTGGTGAATGAAAGCCATGATGGGCCTGGTGCAGGAAGGGTCTTGGGAGATAATGGGATGATATTAGGTGGCTGGTAGTTTCGACCAGACTTGGGGTATCTGCAATTTCAATTTCCACACTCCAAGCCTTGTGGCTAGCTTCAGAATCACTGGGTTTTTCCTGTTTACTCCCAGAGTTGAGTCCCTGTGAGGATGTCTCACCCTCCACAGGGGAGGGAGACCTCTACTCTGAAGGCAGCCCTTGTTCATGGCCCATTACATTTCTCTCGCTGTATCCTGGGCAGAAAGGTTCCAGTTTTTAATGGTAAAAGCAGCTTCAAGAGGCCGTCACTCTCCAGGGCAGAACCAGCTCTAACCAGGAGCCCTGCCTCGGGTGCTTCTGTGATAGGTAGAAGGCTCACACCTGCCTCCCGGGCAGGCACCACGGTTCTCTGGATCCCAGTTTTAGGAGCTGAGAAAATAGTTCTCTAACATAGGCACAAATTACCTCCAAACAACACAAAGACACAGATGGGGATATTACAACTATAAAGACAGTCTAAAATCAGGGGGAACTAGGAATGGGTTAAAGGAATGAATGGGTTAGTGAGTGATAACATCCCCAACAGGCCACTGGAGAACGAGGGTCACCAGGGTCCTTCCCTACCCCAAACCTAACCTCTCACTGGAGCAAGCTGCCCTTGCCAGGAAAGAACTCTGGTCCAGCCCAACATGGGAAACCCCTGCTAGAGGTGACAGAGTCCAGGGCTCTCACTACGGCTTTGGGAAAACCCCACACCCCTCCTGGGCATTCTTCCATCTGCAAAACGAGGGGCTGGACGGCAAGACTGTTCTCTGGAGCTGTGGGATGCCACAGGAGGTGCGCTGGGTAGCCCCAGGCCTGGGAACCATCCCCAGTGGTGTCACAATAGTCCTAGTTATAACTGTTTTGCAGCTTAGGATGCCATAGCACATTTTATTTTAGAAAATGACTTCTGCTGCTAAAAATGAGTTTGAAAATATTGGGTCAGGTTCTCCCTCCAAGGTTCCATGAAATGGTGATGATGCTACGTGATTTGTTTTTCCCACCGCTAAGACGGGGTCAGTGGTTTAGATCCAGGCTGGGAGAGGGCAGTGGGGAGAGGAGGGCAGAATGAAGGGTGCAGTGAGAGGGAAGGTGCCTGGCAAACGCTTCTCCCATTTCCCACTGAGCGTCACCAGCCAAGGCTGCCTCTGCTGGGAGGGACCAGGTGAGCCTCACCTGCCCGCCCCTCAGTGCCTTAAGAACAATGGCCCTGTGCACGCAGCACCCTATGCCCAGCAAGGGGAGCTTATGAACAAGGCTAACTGCCCCCAGCCCACCACCTACAGTGTCGTAGCTCCTTCTTGAAGGCCTTATGGTTGCCCAGCTCTTCCAGGAACGTTTGGCCAGCTTTGCGGAGACTCTCAGAACTCTTCTTGGTCAGGAACCAGCCGAAGTAGAGTGGCAGGAAGTCCTTCTCCAGCCCAGGCTTCAGCTTCTTCAGGTCGTCGGCCGACAGCTGCCACTGGTTCTTCTCCTTGAGCTGGGCACAGTCCAGCCGCCACGCTGTCTTGGGCTCCACCAGCACCACCTGGTACTGGTACTGGTCAGCCATTTCAAAGAGCTGCTCCAGCCGCTCCCGCTCATGGTTGGTGTCATCCAGCACAAGGACTCGGATGTCTCGGCGGCAGTAGGCAGCCAGGTCCTCGTCCAGCCGCTTGTACTCCTCAGAGAAGGCTGCCCGAGAGCCGGGAGTGATCTTGTAAGCGTCGGCCGACACCATCTTTGTGCCATCCCGGTACCTGTCCACGATGACCCGGGCCAGCGTGGACTTGCCGCTCCCGGGCAGGCCACGCAGGATGAAGAGTGTCTTGCACTCCTGCAGTGTGGCCACCGTCTCCTCGTCCTGCAGGAAGGGAAACTGCAGCTCTGGCTTGTCCTTGGCCCCTGAGGATGACATTTTTCGGAAGAAGATCTTGGGCAGGAACGTTTGGCTCTTTCGGGAGAAGCCTCTATTCTGTGTGGGGAGGGGAAGACAGATGTCAGCCAGGTCCCTCTGGGCCCCCCTGCCAGCCTTGCCCCCTTGTCTCAGGCCTCGTTCTAACCAGGAACCCCTGCTCGGGGCACCTGGCTCTGAGTTACAGGTACCCCCAGTGCTGTGGGTGTCTTCCCAAGCTGTGGAGTGCTGGACCTCCTCTCCTGGCCCTTGTGACCTGACAGCTTCTAGTTGTGCAGGATGGAGAGGGATGCTGGTCTGAGCTGCTCTAAACGCTTTCTTTCCTCTAATGAGAGCTGTAACATCAAGGATCACCCACTACTGCCCCCTTGAAAGGGAAACTGTGCTGGAAGTGAGGCAGAGGAGGGCCTGAAGCCTGCAGTCCTAGGGGCAGACCCTAACTTTATATTACTGTCACCTATTAAGAATGATCCCTTTGGAGGTGGGGGGGGGGCTCTGTGTCTGGGCAAAGCCACAGCTGCCCTGGCTCTGAGTGTGCAGAGGAAGGTGGGGGTATAGAAGGGTTACCCAAAGCCTCCCTTTCCCCAACAATGCCAGCAACAGATAATACTCTCTTGTCTGGGATGGGGGGACAATGGTCCCACAGAAGGGCTGGTGGGGGGCAGGGCAGGAGAGCGCCAAACAAAGGGCTCATTCACCATGCCTGCCACCTCCTCCTCTGTCCCAGGCCCCCCACAAAGTCGTGGTCTTTGTGCCTGCCCCAGGACTGGGCGATACAGGGCACCTGCGTCCAGACTGTAGCTCTGCCCACCTCTTTGCTGTGTGTCAGCAGCACCTCTCTGAGCCAGTTGTCTTCCTGCCTGCTAAAAGCCACAAGCAATAACAGTTTTTACTGTAAACTGCCTTCTCTAAACCGAGAAGCTCCACCTCCCTCTAGCACTCTGAGAGCACAGCTGTAGTTTTCTCAGACTAGGCCCTGGGAGGAGGAGGGCGTCGAATGCTCGCCCAGCGCGGGGCCCATAGTGCGGTGCCCCGACCCACTTGCTACCGGGGTCTGCCCCGAGACAGCAGCTTCTGCAGCCCAGTTCCCTTCCTCTAGTGCCGTCCCCACTCTCCCCGCGTTACTCCTACCTCAGGGCCGGGCCGGACTGCCAAGAAAGCCCCAACTCCACTCCGGACCCTCGGGTCCTCATTTGCATGCCACTTCCTCCCCCCAAACCCCGCAGTACTGCCGTTTTCTATTAAGGTGCTACCCGGGGCCCGGTCCGCTACCTCCCCTCCCGCCTTCCAGCGCCTGCTCACCATGATGAGGAGGGGGCGCCGCCGTCGCCGCCTTCGCAGCACTAGCTCTCCGGGGCCGCCCGCCTGCGCGGAGGGACACGGAGCCTAGCGGTGGCGCGAACCCTCACGGGGCCGCTTTACATAGGCCGGGGGCGGAGCGCGCGCGCGGGCGGGCGGGTGGGTACCCTCTGCGCAGGCGCGGCGAATCGAAACCCGAAACTGACTCAGCGAGGGGAGGAAGCCGCCGCGCCTCCCGCAGGTGCGTCCGCCTGTCTTTCGAAGCATCTGTGCGACGGCCAGGGCTGGAGGTTAGGAAGAGGAGGGCTTGTGCGGCTTCATTTTTCTTTTATGAGTCAATAATGAACGCCTTAAAGAGGAAGGCAGCCACTCTTCCCCAGGCCTGCGCGGAGACTAGGTTGAGGCGAGAGGCATGCAAGTGCAAAGTTGAAATCTAAGTTTTGATATTTTACTCATGTCTTTGCATTAATTTTTTTATTTTTTACAATATCGCATTAAAATATTGTTTCTCTTGCTTACTGAGTTTTTGGCCCTGCGTTCGTTAAAGGTTGCATCAGAAATACCTCATTTGCCTCCCTCTAGTTCAGCCCAGTCCCAGCCTAAAGTCAGCCTCTGTCCCACCAGTCTCAACCCTTCTAGGAATTATGGAGATGGGACTAGGATGGCAATGGCCAAAGGGCGGATGAATAATGTAGTAATATCCTAACTCATCCACTGAGGCAGCTACTCAGTCACCTCCTCAGTGAGGACACTAAAAGCTGGGGCGGATTTTCTGGAGCTTCCTGTGTACCAGGTGCTGTGCTAAGCACCCATATAATCCTCACATCAATCCCTGAGGCAGGTGCTCCTTATACCAAGGGGGAAACGAGCTTGGGGAGCCTGGTTTACTTGACTGTACGGCTCCACTGTGGCGCAGGGGTGTCCAGCCGCAGCTCCTACTCCCGGCTGCTCCGTTCTTGGGGGCAGACATCTCCTTCTGGGCTTCTAGAGTTCCACCAGGGACCGCATACACTTCATTCTGCTTTCAAGGCTTAAGGGTTTACAAGTAGGTCTCTCTCACTGTGTGATGGCTGAGGCCGAACCATCTTTATTTCTTCCAGACAGCGTCCCATAGTGCCCTGCACACAGCAGGTACTCAGCGGACGAACCAGTGGCCAGCAGCTGGACACACATACCTCTACTCCCAGGCTTCTTTCCTTCTCTTTCCTCCCCGCTTTAAGCTTTCTGGGTTCTTTGGAGCTCACCTGTTTCTTCAGTCTCCTCAAACCCTTTCCTCTTAACACCATGCTCATTTCTTCCATGAGGACCTTGGACAAGGCCTGGGGGAGAGAACCACTTTGGTCACACTCTAGGTCAGGCTTTGTTTGGGGGTCTCCGTGTTTCTCACCGAATCAGAGTAAGGGCAGAGTTCTGCTTGGAAAGTGGTACCCCATGCCTGCTCATTCATTCTCTAAGCCTCTTCTAAGAATGGATGGGGGTGAGGAGGCAAAATGACAGACTCAGGGTTTGTAAGACTGAAAGACACATATTTAAAGGGAAAACAGTAATAGAGATGGAGATCGATCTGTGGGGCCCAGTCCACATTTCTTCCTATTGGAGACAAATCTCAGCTTGAAGTTCCAGTTTAATAAGATCTCTCCATGGTCCCTGTGAACACCAGCCCCCTGATCCTAATGCTTAGTAATGATGGCTTCATTCACCTTCCCTTTCATCTTTTTCCATTTTTTCAGTATTTTCTGTTTTTTCCATTTCTCCTATTTCTCCCGATTCTGTTTTCCCAAGTTCTTCTGACACTCTTCTGCTGGTTTCTGAAAGTCTCTTCTCTAGTCCTTCTGATTCGTTTGTGCTTAATTCTTCTGAGGGCTTTTGGTCCAGTTCTGAAGGCCTCCTATAAATATCTCCTGATTCCCTTCTGCTCACTTCTGATAGTTTCTTGCCTGCTTCTCCCAATCTTACACCTACTTCTCCAGGCTGTCTTTTGGCAGTGTCTCCTGAATGTCTCCCCATCATTGCCTCTTCTGTTCTCCTTAAGGAGCTGGCTTTTTCTGTTTCTCCTCTCTGCCTATCTTCTTCTTGTCTACCAGCTGTGATCCCCAGAGTTTCCTTAGACAAGTCGTCTTCGATCTCTTTCTCACTCTCGATTTGCTCTGCTTCCCACTGCTTCATCACCTTTTCAGGTTCGTCTTTCACCCTCGTTGTTTCTTTCTCCTTTGCCATCACTGCTGTACTATCCAACACAGTGGCATCTTCTGAAAAACAAGAGAAAGGAGGGAAAAAAGGTAAAAGTTTGTCTCTGGGCCTGGGGAACCCCAGCCTGTGGGGGGCTGTGCTTCTAAGAGATAGCACGCCTTTCCAAAAAGAGAAAGGGAATCATCATTTAGTGAGTGCCAGCCCTGTTCCCAGCACCGTGTGAGTGGCATAGATTATACCATTCAGTCGTCATAAAATTGCATAGTGTTACTGATTTGAGTTTGCAGTCCAGGGATCTGAGAATCTTAAAAGAGAAATCACACACAATGGTCACACTGCAAGTAAATAACTGACAGAGCCAGGATCTGAACCCAGTCAGCCCCCAGACCACATGCTTTCTTTTTCCCTACAAGAACTAGCACAGGTGCTGGGAAAGGACAGGGGTTTCTCTTCTCCAGCATCCTCATTCTGCATTTCTTCTTGTCCCTGGGAAGCACATTCATCATCTATTGGGAGTTTCCCTGTAAAAACGTGAGCAGACTTGTTACCTGGAAGTTCAGATGGAGAGCTATTTTACAACCCAAGGGATCCTTGCTCCTTATTTTTACCAGCTACAGAGAGAAGTTACCAATCCCCTCCTGGGTCTCCCCCATGTTCTCTTCCTGGAAGCCCTGGTTTCTAAGACCCGTACCAGGGCTCTGGGTTCAGAGCAGGGAAAGGCCACCACTTGGCCGTGAAGACACATGCAATGCTGCCACCTGCTGTCAGGCTAGGGAAGTGCCCAGCACAGCCAAGGGAGGGAGGCTGCTTGGAGCATCTGCCATTTCCCGTTTCCCTGCTATGTCACTTCACATTATTGCTCCTGTGGCTTCCGAGAGCAGCTCCAAGGGCATGTGGGGGCAGAGACAGATCTCTGCGGGGATCCAGCCACCACACAGGTAGGAACTGCTTAAAAAAGGGCTGTCACCTGGCTGCTGAGGAGCCCAGGAGTCCCACACCCAGATTCCATCTGCTGTGCCTGGATCCAAGAGGCTTCAGCCTTGGTGCCTGGAAGAGGTTCTGTCCTCCCAGGAGCCCGGAGCCCCAGCCCTAGCTCCCCTTCACTGTGATATGGCTGGAGTGAGGGCCCCCACGGAGGGGGCAGAGAGAAACAGTGTAGAACCAGGGGGAAAGCATGAGTTCCAGAGACTGAAAACCACTGTGAGTGAGCCTTTAACCCCTCTGCCTCCAACTGCCTTAAAGTCCAGCATATAATACTTATTTCATAGTGCTCTTGGAGGGATCAGATGAGTCGGTACCTATAAAGCTTAGAAGAGTGCATGGCACACAGGAAGCACTGAATGGAGATCAGTTTCCCTCGACGCACCCACCCATCTGGGGCCCGGGATCTCAGCCACTTCCTGTTCCTCATTCCTTTCACAGGAGCCAGACAGCCTAGAGCCAGGGAAGGATCAAACTCCTCTTTACTCCTTGGATCCATTGGGAGAAAGAAGGTGGTAAGGCTAGACTGGCCAGCAAGAGCACAGCTGTGAGAGAGCCGCCTCTGCGGCTTAGCCCATCTCCAGGCCCTCTGCCCCCGCCCCGAAGCTCCCCACCGCTGCCCCAAAGAGCAGCTGTCCGGAGCCTGGGAGGGTGTGGCTCCAGTCTGTGTGACCTGGGCAGATCAATAGGGCTTCAGGGCCCCCCTGCCAAACAGTACCTACCTCCGACGGTGGTGAGGATTGAGTGAGGTCATCCTGTCTGATGCTTAACCCAGTGTCTGGCAAGCTGTTAAGTGCCCCTCCCCGGGTAAGCTACTGTCACACTGCCTCCGTCATTGCTCCTGCTAATCCTCGCCAGAAATGCCCTCCACCTTCCACCTCGTACCTGGGAAACACTTGGGCATCTTTTGGAGCCGAATGCAGACGACTGTCCCTCTCTGAAGGGTTCCCTACCTCCCCAGAGAACTGGGAACGCCCCGTGTGGGCTCTTGTGGCAGAGCGCCACCCCCTGCTCAGCAGGCGCGGGTGCAGGAGACCCGGGTCCTGGCAACTCTAATTGTCTGGCCTTCCCCCTGGGCTGTGGACTTCTCCAGGGCAGGAGCCAAGTTTCTGTCTCCCTCAGAGCTCACACACTCCTGGCGCGTGACAAGCGCTCAACAAGTATCTGACGAACTGATTGAAGAAATATGGGAGGAGGCTCTCAGGGCAGGCTGCATGGGTTCTGACCCCACCAGGGGTGGACGGCCTCTCTCTCCTGACTGCGGGAAAGGCTGGAGCTGCTGGCGGCACAGTAATCAGAACATTCGGTGGGAGGAGCCAAGGAAAGTGCTGCGAGGACGGACGGGAGGCGAGCAGAAGATAGATTGTGAAGCTGCCATCTTCGGGGCTCCAGGAACTCACCTTTCTCCTTATATTTGAGTATCTCCTTGCAGTCGGTTTTCTTCAGCTCTTCGCTGATGCCCTTGTTGGCATCGTCCAAGGCCTGTGGGTGGCAGAGGAGCTAGTGAACTCGCTTAACCCTGGGTGACACCCATACCTGTCCTTTCCTTACCCAAGCTCCAACCCCAGGAGGCCAGGCTCTGTGCCTCCCACCCCCAGCTCGCCCCTCCACTTTCTCCTGGCTCCTCCGAAGACTCCTGCCCTGAGGTTAACTGACACTATGGACTTGGAATTCACACACTAAGTGGTACGAGAGATACACAGCTGCGGGTAACTCAAACTCATTCCCTCGGGTTCAGGCAGGTATAGGGATTTGTGTCTGTCTACTGATTCCCACCTTTCTACCTAAAGCTCCTCTTGGCTTCAGCCAATGTAAAGAGACAAAGCAAGCCCCTAAGCCCTCAGCCAGGCAGCAAGTCATGGAGGGGACTCAGCCACACACCACAGGTGTGGATGGGGCTGGGGGCTGGCTCACCTTCAGAGGGGCTGCCAGGGTGTCTGCAGGGTCCCTGGGGATC